CCTAAAAGTCTATTTTTTACCCCTATAATGAAATTGAAAGCTAAAAAAATAGTGCAAATCTAACAGATTTATGAGCACTCGAGAATATTGAAAATGAACGGTCTAGATAATGCGTTATAAGATATATTATTCTTAAGACTCGAATTTTTCTTTTCTTTTTTCATATCCATATATATCGAATCGCGATGATCAATTAGAGAATTTTCTAGTGATGGAAAGATCTTTCTTTATTAATCTTGGCCCACTTAAGAGGCCCGAGTTATGCAAATACCGAAACTTTGAACAATCACAATAAGGTGCACCTCAAAATCTCATTAAAAGATGTATTTTCAGTGTCAAAACTTTTATTATAACCTGAGAGTCTATTTTTTACCCCTATAATGAAATTGAAAGCTGAAAAAATAGTGCAAATCTAGCGGAACACCCCCATTTGTTCAAATATTCATAGGAAGAGAAAAGGCATTTCTAGTATTTTTTTTCTTTATGTGCGAGGTGAGGTTTGTACAGGGTGTCAACTTTGAACACTTACGATTAGGTGTACCTCAAAATCTCATTAAAAGATGTATTTTCAATGTCAAAACTTTTATCATAACCTAAAAGTCTATTTTTTACCCCTATAATGAAATTGGAAGCTAAAAAAATAGTGCAAATCTAACAGATTTATGAGCACTCGAGAATATTGAAAATGAACGGTCTAGATAATGCGTTATAAGATATATTATTCTTAAGACTTTGAATTTTTCTTTTCTTTTTTCATATCCATATATATCGAATCGCGATGATCAATTAGAGAATTTTCTAGTGATGAAACAACCTTTTTTGATAGGTTTTGAGGTGCACCTTACTTCTTCAGTATAAAGTTGGCACCTTATATAATCTTTTTCCTTTCTACAAACTCATGGAGGACGCATTCAAGTGAAGTGATATGTTTAAAATGAAAACATTATTGATGAGTACGTAATTTGACCATTTCAATGATTTTTTTGATTTACTTTTGAAAGAGTTTTATATGGGTCAGGGTGTCCAAGAGCCTGTTGACTTGCATTTTCTTGATTTAGTTTTGGAAGAGTTTTATATGGATCAGCATATCCAAGAGGATGTTGACTCGCAAGTGTCTATCTTCAATCTGGATATTATGTAAGGTGCATCAAATCAAAATAATGTATGGACAATACAAAAAAATCCCCCCCCCCCCCTCTCCCCACCAAAATGTATTTTGAGGTTTTTTTTTTTTCTTCATATTCATAATCACCTTGGTTTAGTTTATGTATGACTCCGCTAATTTATAGAAACCCCGTCCTTTTGTTGTACCATTTTAATGACATTTCTTTTCTATTATATTTGGTAGAGGCACCCTTAAACTCTATCGAATAGGGTCATAACTTCAAGTATGCAGCGTCAAAGCAGTAGTTAGCTTGAAAATTCCAGTTAATTAAAAAAACGCTTTGACGATGATGATCTTGTTCAAATAACTACTCGTATTTAACATGGGGAATAGCGGTTGTGCTATAACGGCAGCATGCGTCACGGTGCATTGTCTCCATAGAATTGGTTAATGAGATTGGAAATACCATGTCTCGATGGTGTGCCATGAACCATAATCAGCGCTCTTATTTTTCTAATTAAAAGATAAACTCCTCAAGAACAGCTATGAACTTTGTAAAACAATGACCGTTTACCTTATTATATAAATTCTATATTTATAGGAAAAAGTCTAAAGTCAACAACCTTAAGCAACTTTATTTGGAGAAATAAAGTTCCAATAATCCATTCCGTTTATTTTATTTGGATGATATAGATTTAATACTACTTTAATGAAAATAGACATTTAGAACATCTAAATGTTATTTCTAACTATCACCTTGCAACTCGGTGCATACACTTTTAATCGAGCTCATACTTGTTTGTTTTGGTTGTGGGCGACTTAACTGGGTACTTACAATATGAGATATTGTGATGTATATTATTCACGGATGATATAGTTTTGATCGATGAAACCCAAAGTGGTGTCAACACAAAGTTAGAACTTTGGAGGGATGCTCTTGAATTTGAAGGTTTTAAAATTAACCAGACTAAAACATAGTATATGGAATGTAAGTTTAGAAATAATAGGAGTAGAGATGAGGAAGTAGTTAAGATTGACGGCCAATAAATACAAAAAAGAACGCACATTTGATATCTTGGGTTGATAATTTAGAAAAATAGAGAAATTGAGAAAGATGTTACACATAGAATTAGAACTAGGTGGGCAAAGTGGAGATGTGCGATAAGAGTTTTATGTGATCACTGCATAACAATGAAGCTAAAGGGTAAGTTTTATATGATAATTGTGAGACCAACTTTACTTTATGAGGCAAAATGTTAAGCAGTCAAGAAACAAACATATCCATATGATAAATATAGCTAAGATGGGGATGTTGAGATGGATAAGTGGTAAGACAATATGAGATAAAGTTCAAAATGAATACATTATGAAAAAACGTAGGTATGGCTTCAATAGGCGATAAGATGAGAGAAAGTGAGCTTAGATAGGTAGCCATGTTCAATGCAGACACAATACAACACTTATTAAGAGGTGAGAGTTATTTTAAGTGGAAGGCTAAAAAGGAACAAATGGTAGGTCCAAAACAACATGTTTGGAAGTAGTGATAGAAGATATGGGGATCTATAACCTCATTGAATGTATGACACTTGATATAACAGATTAACCGATTAGGATTTGTGTAGCTGACCCCATATAATTGGGAAAATGATCTGATGATGATGATGGATTTATACTTCTAATAAGTTTATATAAGGGGTAAATCAATCTTATACTATTAAAATAAAGTGTGGTTTGAAACTCTTCTAGAAGAGAGTGTTCCGATATTGAAAACTCTCCAATTTAATCATCTCGACCTCAAGATGTGTAAATATGAAAAAAAGTTGTCTTGAAATAGTACATCTTGTAACAAACATATCTGGACTTTTATTTTAAAGATCAAATGTTTATAAATATGCTTGATCATTATAATTTTTTTTAAAATGTAAAATTTTATAATTAAAAAAAAAATAAAATTTCAAGTTATCGTAAGGTTCCCGACTCTAAAGCTACCATATAAAAAAATTAGCCTCCAGAACTACATCTATAGACAAAATTTAAAGGTGTGCCTTCCTCATACAATGGAAGGAGGGCACCTTATACAATTGATACCTATATTGTTTTGTTATGTGATTGTTTACAATAAAACCATTTATGTTTGATACAAGGTGGTCATAATTACCTATAAAACAATTTCATACAACCGTTGTATAGTAATATAATGCAACAACTTTAAAAAACCATCTTATGGCTATTTGTTTGATTCAAATTTTGAAATATACACTCATTTCATTCTAATGAACAATCACAAAAAAGAAAAAATTGAAAACACAATCTAGAAAGTATTTTTTTAGCCCAATTAACATAGGCTGTCCATTTTTGTGAGATGATTAGATCTAGGTCTTAGAAGGATTCTTTAATTTTCAATTTTTTTGGTTGACTTTATTATCATTAGATGAACAATGTTAAAAAAGAAAAACATGATTTTGAGTTTATAAAGGCTAAGATATTGAAATTCACAAAATGAATACTCTAGATTTATTTTTGGTGGGGACTCATTTTGACCATATCTAGGGTTCAAAGTGATTTTTTTTTTTTGAATTGATTATTAAGATGAAAGGAGTGTGTGTGCAAAATTTGGGGTCATACAGATAACACAAACATGGTTTTCTAAAAGTCTCGTTATATTATACTATAATATAACCGTTGCATTGGATCATTGCTCTTACTTATAATCATTAAATGTAAAATATTATGGCTTAGATATGTCACAATATTCAAAAAAAATTATTTTGAAATTTAAATTTGGTAATAAAATAAATGGAGCCATCCAATCTCACATCCGCTTATCTCAATCTATACTTTCACTTTTGTTATTTTGTGCATGTGTGTGTTCTAAGCATACGCGCGCGGTGCACATTCGAACACACCCGCCTTCTTCACCTGCTCTACCGCGCGAGAAATGCGACTTCTGTTACATTCCTAACCTAAACCCTAACCCTAAGTCCACCGCATTTCTCCTTTTCTTTGAAACTCAGCGATAATCCTAAGCCCAACCCTAATTGTCATCCATTTGCAAGTTGTCTGCGACATAACCCTAACCCTAAAAATGCTCGCTTTTCATGAACAAGTCATCTCAGACCTCCTCGAGGACGACAATGGCGGTCTGGTTGTTTTGGGCTCTGGTCTCTCTCTCCACAAGTTAGCAGCTGCCCTAATCACCCTCCACTCCAGTTCCAGTGGCTGTCTCTTCATCCTCTCTGCTTCAGATTCTCAACGCGCTGCCATTTCTCTGCAACTTCCTCCCCCTTCCCCTCTCCTCATATCCTCTACTCAATTCTTAGCCCTAGATCGGAAAAACATCTATTCTCATGGAGGTTCATTCTTCATAACACCTCGAATCCTCATAGTTGACATATTGAACTCGAATATCTCGATGTCTTCAATCTCTGGAATCATCCTCTTGAACGTCCACTCTCTGTCCGAAACTTGCACCGAGGCCTTCATAATCCGCCTTTTTCGAACTGCAAATCCTAAGGGCTTTGTTCGAGCCCTAACTGATCGACCCCAAGCCATGGTCTCTGGGTTTTCAAAGGCCGAACGTATCATGAAATCATGCCTCTTTGTTCGAAAGCTTCATATATGGCCTCGATTCCATGTCCTGGTCTCTCAGGATCTTGAGGGCTCGAACCCATTTCCTGTAATTGATATCAGAACCCCTCTCTCGAAAGCTATGAAAGGTATACAGGATGCTGTGCTCGAGGTTATGGAGGCTTGTTTACAGGAGCTCAGAAAGACCAACAAAGTCGATGTGGAGGATTTAACTGTGGAGAGTGGCTTATTCAAATCTTTTGATGAGATAGTCAGGAGACAACTTGACCCAATTTGGCATATGGTGGGGAGGAAGACCAGGCAATTGGTCTCAGACCTGAAAACAGTGAGAAAATTGGCTGATTATTTGGTTAGGTATGATTCAGTCAGTTTTTTGAAGTATTTGAATACACTTAGGGTTTCCGAAGGGGTGAGATCAGTATGGATTTTTGCAAAGCCTGCTCATAAGATATTTGAGCTTGCAAAGAGAAGGGTTTATAGAATTTTACCGGCAGGTGGAGATACTGGGGTATCAGCAGGGAGTGCCGGTAAGAAGAGGAAGGCAAAGGAAGGGGAGTCTAATGATGGTAATATGATATCTCTCTCTCTCTCTCTCTCTCTCTCGTCATTAATTCTTTCATATCATCCCCACTCTCTCTCTAGTCATTACTTCTTTCATAT